GACAGCGCGTTCTTCCGGGCCATCGCGCTGTGCCGCGAGCCCGGGGGTGTGGGCCAGTGCGCGGAGGGGGAGGGGGGAGGATGGCGGCCACCGCGGGCGGAGGTGGAGGAGGGAGAGGAGAAGGAGGGAGAGAGAGGAGGGAGAGGAGGAGGAGGGAGGAGGGAGGAGGAGGAGGAGGAGGAGGAGAAGGAGGAGGAGGAGGAGGCTGGGGCAGCCCCCCATTCTGGCTAGAGGGGCCTCTTTTCAAAATCTGCCCATCCGCTGGGAGGGCTGGGACAGGCATCGGGTCATCCATCGACTAGACCTGCCTTCAGTTTCGAGCTTCGAGGAGGAGGAGGAGGAGGAGGAAGAGGAGGAGGAGGAGGAGGAGGAGGAGGAGGAGGAGAAGAAGGAAGGAGGAGGAGGAGGAGGAGGAGGAGGAGGAGAAGGAGGGATGGATGGAGGAGAAGGAGGGGCAGGAGGAGAAGGAGGGGGCTTTTGCTGGTTAGAGTAAGGCTTCCGCGTCTGCACGTCTCGATGGTCCGCATAAGTGGCGCATGCCCGCCTCCAGCTGCAAGAAAGAAATTGCGAGGCAGAGAAGTGGGCCAATCTTGCTGGGACCTCGGACTAATTCAGCTTGGATCATGAAGAAGGGGGAAGGTTCACCGCTTATGTCAGGTTTCCGGCTAAAAGTGGCGGGCAGTTGTAGGCATCATGAACGGTGAGCCAAACATCAGCAGGGGCTGATGGGTCTGCCTTCTTGAATTGCGGAGCTCGGAGAAGGCAGGTGGAGGGGGAAAGACAAACGTGGCCAGGAGCTGCCAGGCACCTCTGGTGCATCTGAGGGGTGGACGAGCCATCCTCTCGTGGAGTGTCACTGCACCCAAGGTCCCAGGTGAGGGACCTCGGGGCGGTGCTCATGAGAAGCCGCAGCGCCAGGGTGGGCGAATCAAGACAACTGCCGGCCGGGCTGCGAAAGGACGGGGGCGAGCTTCACCCGTGCGTGAAACATTAAACATTGGGCGGTCCCCCGAGGATTCTTTTTATTTGAACAATGTGTTTTCCCTAACCATCCTGTGGTGTTGGGTCCTCGTTTTGAAGAGACGGTCCCCGCGTTCCTTCCCTCCCTCCTTCCTTCCTTCGTTCCTCCTCCCCCTCCTTCCTCCTCCCATCCCTGCCTCTACCCTATGCATGTCCTCAGCGTTTCGTGGCCACATAGAGAGCTCCACCTAAGGTCCCAATGGCGGTGTCCACATGCGTCTCCCCCACACAGTACGGCGTTTCGTTGCCCCATAGGGAGTTCCAGCTAAGGCCCCAGTGGCGGTGTCCACATGAGTCTCCCCCACCCAGCACAGCGCCTCGTGGTCACATAAGGAGCTCCACCTAAGGTCCCAGTGGCGGTGTCCACATGCGTCTCCCCCACCCAGCACAGCGCCTCGTGGCTCCAGAGGGAGCAACACCTATGTAAGGTCCCAGTGGCGGTGTCCACATGCGTCTCCCCCACCCAGCACAGCACAGCTTTTCGTGGCCACATAGGAATTTCCACCTGAGGCCACAGTGGCGGTGTCCACATGGGTCTCCCCCATCCAGCACAGCGCTTCGTCGCTCCATATGGAGCTCCACCTAAGGCCCCAGTGGCGGTGTCAACATGCGTCTCCCCCACCCAGTACAGCGTTTCGTGGCCCATAGGGAGCTCCACCGAAGGCGGTACGGACAACTGCGGTACTCACAGCTGCATATGTTTTTTTTGTTTTATATGTCATGACTTTTATTGAACAAAAGAAAAAGCCTGCTGATCGCCCCTCGACGGCGGGGGACAGGAGCGGGGGACCACTCGCATGTGAAGCTGGCCGGGCACCCGCACGCCACACAATTTGGGGCCAGTCGGCCAGCATCTGAAGACGGGCCGCCATGCAGTCCCGCACAAGTCATCGAGAACCAAAGAACCCCTAACGCTAATAGCACGGTGAAGACGTGGCCTCCCTGAGGTTCCCGTCTTCGCATTCGGGATAATACATATGGGCGGTGTGGTCTGATACATCTGCAGGAAGCACCATATTGTTGGCCTCCTAGCTTAGGTCCCGTCCCAAAGGGTCAGGGGCACTGCTATGGTTCACCCACAGAGGTTCTTGCTTGTCAGCAGAGGAGGCTGGCTGGAAGGGGGAAGGCTTCTGAGAAGCACCGCCACCTCTTAGAGGGCGCGGGCCCTCTCTGTAGATGTAGGGCCGGCGCCCTCTGAGAAGCAGCCTCCTCCTACGACGCCTCCCCCCCTCCCCGGGCCCCCTCGCCCGCGCCGCCAGCAGGTGATGCTGGCCGGGCACCCTGTGAAGAGCGGCCGCCACGAGAAAACGAGACCCCGAGAACACAGAAGGCAGGGCTGGACTTCGGCCGTGCTTTATTTTCCGTTTTGGCAGGGCGGTACCGGAAAGCAGGCAGGGCGAAACGAACGACGAAGCGAAAACAAAACGAACAGGCCCAGCCCTGAGAGAAGGCGCCGAGGCAAAGCGTGAAGCGCCGTGCAGTCCCAAGGGCCCACGGAGCACAACGATGCGGGCGCGTCGCCGACAGGACTGTCACAGTTTGCAAGCTCGTGACAGCACGCCTCGCGCAGGGGAGCCCGATCCTGAGAGGGCGTGGATCCAGAGATCGGGAGCGGCAAAGAGGGGGGTGATGACTGGGGGGGGGGGGGGGGGGGGGGGGGGGGGGGGGGGGTGGGGAATCCTCCTCCTCCTCCTCCTCCTCCTCCTCCTCCCCCGCCCCCTCCTCCTCCTCCTCCTCCTCCTCCTCCTCCTCCTCCTCCTCCTCCCCCTCCTCGGGATCCGGACGCCCGAAACGGGTACGGAAAGAAGGGGTGCAGTGCCCAGCAGCAGTTTTTGCTCATCTTGAACAGGACTCGCTGTCCGCGCCGCCGCGGCCCGTCTCCACTTGAGACAGAAGGCCACCTGCCCAACAGCGGCCGCTGTGGGTTTGGGACAACATTTGTTGTTGGGCATTGTACCCATCTTTTCCGTACCCATCTCGGGCGTCCAAACGGGAGGTTCCACGCCCTCCGCCTCCCGAGGGTCGGAAGGGAGAGCTCCATGCCTTCCACTTCCCGAGGGGCATGGGCAGATGAAGCAGCAACAGGTCAGGTCCCTGGGCATTGTAAAGATTATCCCGGCAAAGCAACCTAACAGCGATATGCAGAAGCATATCTGAAAGCATTCCCCTTAAGATTCAGATGAAAATCCAGTTGTAGAATTCTGCTGTTCTCGCAGTCGTAGTCGCATTCGCGATGACAGTCGCATCTGCAACGGCAGTCGCAGTCACAGCCTCAGCCTCAGCCTGCCTCAGCCTCAGCCTCAGCCTGCCTCAGCCTCAGCCTGCCTCAGCCTCAGCCTCAGCCTGCTTCAGCCTCAGCCTCAGTCTGCCTTCAGCCTCGGCCGCAGCCTCAGCCTGCCTCAGCCTCAGCCTCAGCCTCAGCCTCAGCCTCAGCCTGCCTCAGATCAGCCTGCCTCAGCCTCAGCCTCAGCCTGCCTCAGCCTCAGCCTCAGCCTGCCTCAGCCTCAGCCTCAGTCTGCCTTCAGCCTCGGCCTCAGCCTCAGCCTGCCTCAGCCTCAGCCTGCCTCGGCCGCAGCATCAGCCTGCCTCAGCATTCAAAATGTGGCCCAGGAATGGAGTTCTGGAACTAGAAGAACACGAAGTGGCCTACAGTTGGCTCCGGGCATTCAAAATCATGCCCAGGAATGGAGTTCTGGGAACTTGAAGAGCACGAAGTGGCCTACGGTTGGCTCCGGGCATCCAAAATGTGGCCCGGGAATGGAGTTCTGGGAAATCGAAGAGCACGAAGTGGCTTACAGTTGGCTCCGGGCATCCAAAATGTGGCCCGGGAATGGAGTTCTGGGAACTCGAAGAGCACGAAGTGGCCTACAGTTGGCTCCGGGCGCTCAAAATGTAGCCCGGGAATGGAGCTCTGGGAGGTCGAAGAGCACGAAGTGTGTGATTGTTGACGAGAAACGAGCCCGGCTCTTTTCCCGGTTCTCCAGAATGTGGCCCGGGAATGGAGTTCTGGGAGGTCGAAGAGCACGAAGTGTGTGACTGTTGGCGAAAAACGATTCCCGGTTCTCCTCCCCGGCACCCGCCCAGGCCCCCCTGAGGAGTCATGATGCTCTCTTTTGAACCCACTAGACACCTATCAGCAAACGCTGTTAGGTAAAAAGACGTTCGGAGGAGGGAGAAGTGCCCACGCCGTATCCTTTTCCGTCGTTTTCCCTTTCGTGGGCCCTCTTGGAGGCCCTCGTCGCCACCACCAGATTCGCCTCGATATTCTGGTCAGAACACTCCCCAGGAGAGGTCTGGGGAGTAGCCGTACCAGTAACTTTGGTCTCCCCATACGTTGCAACATGTCATGTGCAGGGGGGGCGTGGGGAATGTACGAATGTATGATGCCACTGCGCAAGTAGCCAGGGCAAGACGGGAAAGACGTGTTTCGATTTAGCTGCCCACGGGATCTGGGCAAAACATGAACGTTCTGCGCATCAGGTGAGGCCCTGACGTTGGACACCATGCACCTGCACCGCCTCGTGGGTGGTCTGTTGATGAACTGCCTCGTGGAACCTCGCGACTGGGTCCCCTGGTCGCGAGCCACCAAGGAGGAGAGGGAGGAGAGGAGGGGAACATTGAATCAGGAAGTCTTAGCAAGGCGCTGGACGAAAATAGAAAGGAGCGCCCATCCTTGGGAGAGAGAAAGAGAGAGAGAGAGAGAGAGAGAATGTGAGAAGGAGGGGGGGATGTAGGAGAGAGAAGGGCAGAGCGAGAAGGACAGGGCAACAAGGAGAGACAGAGAGACAGAGAGACACCGAGAGAGAGAGAGAGGGAGAGAGACAAAAAGACAGAGAGAAAGCCAGAAAGAGAAAGAGAAAGAGAAAAAGAGAGAGAGAGAGAGAGCGAGAGTAACGAGTCTTCTGGCGAGGGACCCAACCACGTGCAGCTGCGAGTATCGCGTGCATGCGAGGGCGTTCTGCCGCTGGGGCCTTCGGTGGAGCTCCCTACGGGACCACGAAATGTGTCAGGGGGTTTGCCGAAGTGTGGCAGGGCCGCCATGCGGGCGCTGCAATTGGGGCCTTCGGTGGAGAAGCGTGTGAGGGGTGTGCCGAATCGAAGGCGAGCGTGCCATGCGGGCGATGCCACTGGGGCCTTCGACAGGACTCCCACAAAAGGCCCACGGAGCGTGTGAGAGGTGTGCCGAGTCGTGGCGGGGTGGGAGGAGGGAGGAGTGGGAGGAGGAGGGAGGAAGAATCGACGCGGGGCGCTGTCTCTTCAAAACGAGGGCTCCCAAACATGAATTTGCACTATCGCAGGGGGGCCGGTATCGCTCCCCCCCCCATCATCTGGAAATACTATGCGCGCGCACTCGTCTATCAAAAATCCTAGATGTTCAGGAATCCCTCGCAAAAAAAACGGGATGCAGTGCACACGCGCGCGTCGTCGCGCGCGCATGCCGAAATCCTTACGACAAACCCTCGGCTTCGGAAGGATTTCTAAATCGAATGTCCACAAACATATAAATAACACCTGGTTTCGCAACACGGATGTTCAAAACAAGTATGCGCGCGCTCTTGCGAATTCTCAAGAAAAAACATCGGGTTTTCAAGACTTTCATAGAATACTATCAAAGGGACTTCGCAGGCACGCATGGCGAAATCGTTCGAACGCCCTTGCGCGCGTGCCGTCGCGAGAACCCCTTGCAAAAAACGCGACGAAGTGCGCACGTGCGCGTCGTCGCGCGCATGCTGAAGTCCTTCGAAAACCTTTTGTTTCGGAACGAGTTTAAAATTGAGTGTCCAAAACATATACAGAAACACAGGGTTTCGCATCACGGATGTTCAACAAATGCGTGCGCGCTCTCTTGCGAGTTCTTAAGAAAGCCATGCGTAGTTCAGACATTCTTATACAATGCTACCAAACGAGCTTCGCGCGCGCATATGGAAATCGTTCGAACGCCTTTGCGCGCGTGCTGGGTACGGTCCGTGTCAGCTAATACCATGCGAGCCACTCTCGCGCGTCTGCTGCGCGCATTTCGAATTTCTTCCAAAACCTTCATCACCGACGCGAAGACGCCGTCATCGTCGTCGGCGTGATCGGCATCGGCGCCGTCACTGGCCGTGCCGTCGCCGCTGTCAGCATCGTCACCAACACCACTATTATCATCATCATCGTGTCTACACTTGTCGACGTTGCCATGATACTGCGCCCGCCCAAGTCGCCGACTCGCGTTCAAGTGCCCGCTGGGATGCGCCGAGCGGTCAGCACCACCGCGGCCGCGCCTGTCGCGCCAAACTACCTGGCCGCTTCGCGCCTGCATGCGCGGGCTGGCGCGGCCGCAGAGATGCACCAGCCAATGCCAAGCACTCATCGCAATCGCCGCCGCATGAGGTTCGCAAACCAAGTTGCGGGTGAGTGGGTGGGATGTTTGCGGGGGCCGGTGGGTGGACAACTCACAGCGAACAGAAATTAATTGCACTACATGGCTTGCACCCAAAATGCGCCAAGTAGCTCTGCAACGCGCAGATTTTACCACACAGGTTTTAATTACCACACAGAGTACCCCACAGAGCTTCCACCACACAGCTCGCACGCCAGAGCTTACACCCAGGTGGCACAACATCGTGCACATCCACAATCCGATACCCTTGGCGGTCCGCGCTGGCAAACATATCCTTGGCTCTTCCACGCGGCAGACATCGTATCTCTTTCTCGCTCTCACTCTCTCTCTCTCTGTTCCTCTTTCTCCTTACCCGTAGGGGCTTCGGCCCCTGCCGCCGGCCCACTCTCTATCAGAATGGCTTCGGGGACGCGAGAAATGAGACATGTGCACGGGGTTGTGGCCTCGGTCGCGCGAATATCATGTAATGTGCGAGGGTTTCTGGCTTCGGGGGCGCGAGAATTCGATCATGCACAACGAGGCTTATGGCCTCGGGGGCGCGAAGCTTACATCATTTATGACGATGCGTGGCTTCGGGGGCGCAGATGTTGCATATTTTGCCAAGGTTCAGGGCCCCGGGGGCGCGAGCACTCTATACTTTCCTACGGTTGACGGCCTTCGGGACGCGAAGACGGCGCAAGTCACGAGGGTTTGTGGCCTCGGGGGCGCAACTATTGTGGTATGAAAGTTATCGCTTCGGGGGCGCAGGTCTTATGCATTTTTACGTGTCCCACGATACCCCAGAAATCCTGGGAACCCTGGAGGGGCGTGGTAAATCCAATGATTTTCGACTCCCCCCCTCGGGCGTTCAGTAACAATTTAAAATAGGAAGCAGAGCACAGCTATCACGCTGGACAGTGGAACCTGCAACTGGCGCAGGGAGCAGCAGACCTAACCCTACAGCCTCGTGGCCCCACAAGGGGGCCAGCGGATTTATCTAGGTCTCTTTTTTCTCTCTCTCCCTCTCTCTCTCTCTTTCTATCTCTTTCTCTTTGTCGGAGGTTGGGGGGGTGAGACCGAAGTGGATCGTGAGGTGCCCCAGCGGGAGAATCATGTCGTTTCGTTCGTTACGCGCGTGCGGTCGAGGCAACACTGCGCGAGTTCGTACCCTACCCCGTGTCCGGTTTCTTGTCCCCAGTGTCTCCTAAGTTGAAACGATCGACCGGAATATGTTAAACGGTTGTCCCCATGGGGGCTCTCAATTTGTCCCGATGGTTGCCCTGTTGGTTGTCCCACTTGTTGCCCGATGGTTGTTCCGATTTTCTTCCCGATGGTTGTCCCGATCGTCGTCCCGATGGTTGTCTTGGCCGTTGTCCAAATGGTTGCCCAAGTGGTTTTCCCGTGGGTTGTCTTGTTGGTTGTCCCGTTGGTTGTCCCGATGGTTGTCCCGATGGTTGTCCCGATATTTGTCCCGATGGTTGTCCCGATGATTGTCCTGATGGTTGTCCTGGTCGTTGTCCGGATGATTGTCCCAGTGGTTGTCCCGACTGTTGTTCCGTTGGTTGTCCCGACGGTTGTCCCGACGGTTGTTTGGATGGTTGTCCCGATGGTTGTCTCGATGGTTGCTTTGGCGATTGTCCCGATGATTGTCCCAACGGTTATCCCGATGGTTGTTCTGACGATTGTACCGATGGTCGTCAATTGACGGTTGTTCCGACGGTTGTATCGATTGTTTGTTTTGATTGTTGTGCGATGGTTGTCTTGTGGGTTGTCCCGATGGTTGCCCCTATAGTTGTCACGATTGTTGTCCAGATGATTTTTTCCGATCGTTGTCTCGCCGATGATTGTCCCGATGTTCGTCCCGATGGTCGTATTGCCGATGGTTGTCCCGACGGGTGTCCCAATGCGGGGTACGATGTTTAGTGTTTGCTTTGACTGTATGGCACTGTGGCGCTTTCTTGGGCCATCTTGAATGCCATCTTGGTTGTCCCTATGAACCTGATGAGCCCTGTACGGTATAGAAGCCCTGCGAGTCTTATAAGTCATTTGATCCCCCAGAAGCCATCTAAGCTCAACTAGCCCGGTAAGCCTTGTAGGGCTCATCGGAGTCATGGGGCCGATAGTTTTCGGAGCGCAGTTTGGATGAGCATCCATCTTACTGTCCCTGTGCGTTTCCACGTTGCGTCCGCTGTGAATCACACACGACGTCCCCCCCTCGAGTCTCCTTATTACCCGAAAGGTGGTCTATGAAATTTGCATCTCCTCCTCCTCCTCCTCCTCCTCCTCCTCCTCCTCAACCTCCTCCTCCTCCTCCTCCTCCTCCGCCCAAGCCGAAGGGAGTAGGTACCACAAGGAAGCTGGGCACGCCTGACGTAGCTGGCCCGGGCGAGGACTGGATACGCACGTGGCCGCATGTCTTTCCACGGCTCGGCCTATCTATGGTCAAGTCGGTCCCTCTACAGGAGGAATATCCAAAAATAGTCCAAAAATAGTCTGGGCACGATTTGTCAAGTATTTTTTGACTATTGCTAATGTGTTCTGGGTATATCGTATTTTTCGTCCAAACTCCGCCTGTAGGGGGACATGCCCGACCTAAGTCTATGGCCAGGCTCGGCGGGATTCCGGACGCGTATCCAGGGGCAGCGAGGGCTGCAGAAAGGGACCCTGCAGGGCCCTTAGAGGGCCCTCGTGGGCCCCCAGAGGGCCCTCGTGGGCCCAAAGGGGGGGCCGTTCGGGCCCGAAGCGGGCACCCGCGCGTCGCCTCCGGAGGTCCCACCCGTGAACTTGACCGAGCAGTTGTCCAGTTTCCTAGCATTGAGTCGGGCCTGTCCCTCTACAGGAGGAGTATTCAAAAATAGTAAAAAGATAGTCTGGGGACGATGTTGTGCACATGTTTTGACTATTTTTGGATACTGTTTGAGTATTTCGTATTGTTCGTCCAACATCCGCCTGTGGGTGGACATGCCCGACCTAATCCTAGCAGCATTTCCATGTAGCTCTCGGCGTCGCCCCGTCTTCCCCCCCATACAGTCGGGGCCCTGAAGAAGGAACCATTTTGGTTGGGGAGGGGCTCCGCGTTCCGTAAGTGTTTCACAGTTTGCCTCAGGCTTTCCTTATGTCTTCGACAGGGAATCGAAGGTCAACTTATGGACAAAAAGGGTCCTCGTTCCTCATTTAGGGTTCCTTAGGTCAACGCCCCGACTGTAGCAGCATTTCCATGCAGCTCTCGGCGTCGCCCCGTCTTCCCCCCCCCATGCGTTTCCCGCTCCGCGTGGCCCGCCGAGGCCGCGGGGTCCTGCTGATCCTGGACGCGGAGGCGGAGCCGTTCGAGAGGATCTGGTGCTGCTTCGAGGAGTCAGGCCGCCCTCGCCGCGGGAGAGCGGGAAGCAGCGCAGATGTGCAGGATCACCAGGACTAACTACTCCAGATTTCGTAGTAAAGGGAGGGGGGTCTCATTTCGGGGGGGGGTCTCTTCCAGGCTATCTTGGAGGGCCTGGGGGGTCTGGGGACGATGTTTTGGAGGGTTCTCCCACGGGGGAGGTCTGAAAGGGCTTGTCTTGGAGGGTCCCCCCCTCCCATTTATTACGAATCTGGAGTACCGCCTTCGCAAGAGTGAAAAAGGAACAGCCGAAAGCTCTGACCTTGGGCATCGAATCGCGAGCTGTCTGGTCGAGATGCTCTCGACGCGTCCTTGGTCAGAGGCAACTTGCATGGCTACCCTGCTCTCATGAGCCGGTGCTGGCCGAAAAAGCCACCAGTGCTGCAGAACCAGTGAGCGCAGATGTGCAGGAGGTGTATTCCTCGGAGGAGGGCCCGTCGCTGCAAGGGCGGCCCTGCCCGGCATTCCTCGTCCTCTTTGGGTTGGGCCTCCTGGAGCCGGGGGCGGCAAAGAGGGGGGTGATGACTACGGGGGGGTGGGTATCATGGCGGGGGCCATGAAATTTCCCCAGATCTCATGGCGCCTCGTCTTGTTTCATTACGTCCCTGGCCCCCCCGCTGGGCCGCGCACATGCCGCCGGTCATGATTTGCACCCCTCCCTCTTGGACACCCCCCTCTTGGCCGCTCCCGAGGTTGGGCCTCCTGGAGGCCCCTCGTCGCCTTCGGCTGGATCCGCCTCGAAGAACCTTGCAGAGCAGACCCTGGGGGGGGCCCAGCGCTCCATTTTGAGCGGCCTCGGGCCTGACGGGAGGGCCGCCGTTGTCTCGGCTGGCCCTCGGAGCGGGCCAGAGGAGGAGGAGGAGGAGGAGGAGGAGGAGGAGGAGGAGGAGGAGGAGGAGGAGGGAGGAGGGAGGAGGAGGAGGAGGGAGGAGCAGGAGGAGGAGGGGAAGGAGGAGGCCTTCCCTGTGCCGAGCGGAGCTAGCCCGGCCTGCAGGGGCCTGGCCGCTGCCGCGCCACGGGGCTTCGCGGTGCGCTGCGCGGTGGGGTCGGGCACAGGGCTCCAGGCGGGGTGCCAGGCACACACGCATGCACGCACACCGGGTTCTGTCGTGGCCTCCACGTCGTCGCCGTCGTCGCTGTCGTCGCCGTGATTCTCCTCCCTCGCCTCCCCCCCTCCCCCCTCCTCTTTCCTCCTCCCTCTCCCCTTCCACTCCTCTCCGAGTTCCTCCTCCTCCTCCCGAGAAGTTCCCCTCCTCTCGATCTCTCTCTCTCTCTCTCTCCCTCGTCCCAGTCACCCCCTCCATCCCCCTTCTGAGTGCCGAGGTGGCGAGTCAACCAGGGTGCGCCTGGTGCCCATGGACTCGGGTCGTCTCCTCGTCCTCGTCCTTTTCCTCCTCTTCTTGCCCTTCCCACACCTCACCGACTGCTCCTCCTCCCTCCTCCAATCCAACCCACCTCCGGCTCCTCGTGCCCATCCTCCTGGAGTCGGGGGCGGCAAAGAGGGGGGTGATGACTAGGGGGGCTGGATATCATGGCGGATGCCATGATTTTTCCCCTGATTTCATGGCGCCTCTTCTTATTTCATTACGTCCCTGGTCCCCCCGCTGGGCCGCGCCCATGCCGCCTGTCATGGTTTGCACCCCCCCTCTTGGACACCCCCCTCTTGGCCGCTCCCGATGGAGGGTACCACGAGGGCGAAGCGATGGCCCGTCAGGTGGGCTTACAGTCACAGTCACTAGCGCTCATGGCGACGTTGATTTGCAGTAGAGCTCCTCCTGCTCCTCCTCCAGCTCCTGCTCCTGCTCCTCCTCCTCCTCCTTATCCTCCTCCTCCTCCTCCTCCTCCTCCTCGTCCTCCTCCTCCTCCTCCTCCTCCTCTTAACAGCAGCCGCACCAGCAACTGCAACAGCAGCAGCAGCAGCAACAGCAGCAGCGTCGGCACCACCCTGCTACTACAGCCTCGGGAGAGTTCCCTCCTAACGCCGGACATCGGGCCAACGCCAGCTGACAGCAGGCTGCAAATTTCCGAGGGCGGGAAGATGCGGTGTTGCACCAAATAGATTGCATCACATAGCTTCCACCACGCAGCTTGCACCGTACAGCTTGCGACGACGTGGGCTCGTCCGACATAGCTGACACCGAACAGCTTGCACCACGTACATATCTTGCACAACATAGCTCGCGACGATGTGGGCGCTCACCACGATGCGTACACCTCATAATTTGTGCCACGTGGGTTACACCACATAGCTTACACCGCACAGGTTGTGACGATGTGGGCGGCTTGCGCCACGTATCTTGCGTGCAGATGTGGACGATTTCTCGAGCGAGATGCCGCCCGAACCACATCAAACCAAGCCAATAATGAAGACACCGTAGGCGAATAACAGCTCGAACATGTTGCGAGGACGTTTAGAGCGAGACCGCAGCCAAACCAGACAAATCGCGAGGACGTCTCAGTCGAAACCGCGCCCAAACGAGGCCAAACCAGGGAAACCGTGATCACGACTCCGGCGACATCGCATCATGATACAACCAAGCCAGGCAACTTGACACGACGTATCATGCTAAACTGTGCCGAAAACACGACACAGGCTAAGCAACCTGAGAGCACGTCGGGTCAAGCCAAGCCAAACCAGGCCACGCCATGGGCCAGGCCGGGCAAACTCTGAGAACGTCTCCAGCGAACCTCCCCAAGCCAGTTCCCTCCCGCGGGCCGACGCGCACTCACACGGAAGGAGTGGATGACCCGAGGGGTCCCCCCGGCCAAGGGGAGCTTGCAGTTCGACCTCTCGCTGGCGGGCGGGGGGTGGCTCTCCAGACATGGTCGGTGTTGGTTGGGCTCGCAAGAGTGATGTCGACGTTGGCAAACTTCGCTCTGGAACGTTGGCTTCTGCACCTCCCCATCTTCATCATCATCTACCTCCTAGTCCCCAGAGGGAAAGAACCACACAGTCACAATCAATCGTCAATTTCCTAGAAAATACGGGAACATATGGGAAGTGGGGGGAAGACGAAGCCCCAGAAAATATCAGAGAATATGGGGAATCCTGCTACTTGTATGTATTTATTTGTGTGTCCCAGGGCCCCCTCATCCTCGTCCTCCTCCTCCCCTTCTCCTCCCTGGCAGGTGCCCTCCGTCCAGCTTCTTTGGCTGAGTGACCCATATTTGTCATCATCTTCTTTCATCTGTTTTGGAGAGCTTAAATCGACGGAGATCGTACAGTCGGCCCAGATTAGTAGGTCGATCCTCCCAAATCAAGAGTACCCATGTGCCCTGTATCTCGCGACCCATGCCTCCTACATCATTATGGCAATGTGGCCCTTGGAAGGGTCTTGTGTCCTCTCGACCGTCCTGTCCAATCAAGTCCGACTGTAGCCTCAGGGTGGGCAACTGAACAAGATAACGCAGAGACAATTGGCTTAGGCGATATGGCCTCAGCACAGCTGGCGCACAAGATCGGAAAACGAGAAAAAGGCCACTGAGGCGCTGAGTAATTATCCGAGCAGCCAGTGTGGGTCAAGCAGCTGAAGGGCAAGAGCTGATGAGAGTGATTAGGATACGCCAGAGCGTGAAGACAACAAGATGAAAGAAGAGGTGACGTGAATTGGTACTGCGTGGCATGGGCATGCCATTAAATTGTATGCGGAGTTGTGGTCTAGGCAAGCGGTGGACGCAGAGGTGATGGGAGTGTTAGGATGTTATGGTAGAGCAGTCAGGGGGTAGTGCAGTCTGGTGAGTATGGTTGGTAGTGACATGTTTGATCGCATGCGACCATATCGGACGCGTACGCGCACGCGCACGCGCACGATTACACGCGTGCGCACGCGCACGCGCTCGCGCTCAGGATCGGGCTCGGGCTCGGGCCCGAGCTTGATCTCAAGCTCGCGCTCGGGCTCGGGGTCGGGCTCGCGCTCGGGATCGGGCCTGGGCTCGCACCCGAGCCCGTGCACGCGTACACGCGCACGCACGCGCGCACGCACACGCGCACGAACACGCATATGCACACGCATATGCACACGCACACGCACACGTACGCACACGCTCACGCGCGCGCGCACGCGCACGCGCACTCGCGCGCGAACGCGCAGCGCGCGCGCTCAGGATCGGGCTCAGGCCTCGGCCCGGGCTCGCCCGGGCACGCGCAGCCCCCTGCGGCGGATCACCGGCGCCCCCTGCCCGTTGGAGTCGCCCGTGTGGCCGAGCGTTCTCGGCAAGAGCTCTGCCAAGCTGTCGGGCCATGTGTGCCCCCGGCTGTTGTGGAACTTTTCGGGGAACACTTGAGGGAGGCGGGGAAGACCAGGAGGAGGAGGAGGAGGAGGAGGAGGAGGAGGAGGAGGAGGAATCTTGGGAACCTCTGGGGGCGCTCTCGAGGCCTCCTGGGAGCTTCCTGGGAGCCTCTTGGAGGTATCTTGGGGGCCTCCTTGGGCCTCTTGGGAGCCCTTTGGGAGCTTCTCGGGGGCCTCTTTGGCTGTTCCTTGCCCGTCTGGCGCCGTCGGCAGCCCTCTTGGGGGCCTCTCTGAACCGACTTGGGGCCCTCTTCGGGCGCTTCAGGGCCGTCGTGGAGGCCATCTTGGGCGTCTTGGAGGCCTCTTGGGCCGTCTTGGACGATTTTGGGGGACGTTGTGCACAATTGCGCGCCTTTCCGGGTGGCGGGCGCGCTGGGCCGGAACCCCATGGGGAGAGTTCTTTTGGAAGAAGAACCATGTGCAAAACCAGTAGAATATAGCACGCCAGGCACCCTGTGGCAAGACCACAGAGGGCGGCGGATCTCTACTGGCCTGCGGCCCGTCCCGCCACCGTGCCTGGGTTGTAGGTCTTAGGCCTCTCGGATGTTCGTTGCGATCTCGCCGAGGCCTCTCGGGGGCATTGAGGCAGGTTTTGAAGCCTCTGGGGCGCTGTTTTGGGGTCTTCTTCGGCCCTCTTGGGGGCCTCTTGGGGCCTCGTGGGGGCC